CCCACACACCCACACACTGACCTCCTGTGACCCCCACACCCACACACTGACCTCCTGTGACCCCCCACACCCACACACTGACCACCTGTGACCCCCCCACACCCACACACTGACCACCTGTGACCCCACCCACACACTGACCTCCTGTGACCTCCCACACACACACACTGACCTCCTGTGACCCCCACACCCACACACGACCTCCTGTGACCCCCACACACCCACACACTGACCACCTGTGACCCCCACACCCACACACTGACCTCCTGTGACTCCACCTCCCAGACACCAAGGCTCCAGGCCTGGGACACACACAGCGGGGTACAGACTCCCGCTCCTGTCCGTGCTGCTCGCCATGCGGGGGCAGCAAGCAACCCTGAGAGCCACACCCTCCTGTGCACCTGGGCGGGATGACACCCCCCCCCCGCCCTTTCTGCATTGGGGGTGGAGTCACCGTGAGGCGGCTTTGCGCTGGGCTGCTTTCTAGGTGATCACCGTGAGGCGGCTTTGTGCTGGGCTGCTTTCTAGGTGATCACCGTGAGGCGGCTTTGCGCTGGGCTGCTTTCTAGGTGAGGAGCTGCCGTTTCTGCCACTCATTTCCCTGTCCCCGTCCTGGCTTTGCGCTCAGGAAGTGGCTGGCTCCGCTGCCCAGTCCCACCTCCAGCCCTGAATGTTTGTGGTAGTTTTGTTTTGTTCTTTGTCACTTCTGAGACTTGAACTCAGGGCCTGAGCTTCTTTTTGCTCAAGGCTGGCGCTCTGCCACTTGAGCCACAGCGCCACTTCGGGCTTTTTCTGTGTATGTGGCACGGAGGACTGGAACCCAGGACTTGATGCGTGCTAGCGAGCGCTCGACCACTGAGCCACCTTCCCAGCCCCTTGGTGGGTATTTTTTGGATTGGCTCTCTCTCCTGGCTCGACCTGCCTGTTAGGCTGACTTGTGCGGCTGGGACAGCAGGCGTGAGCCCAGTCCCTCCTGCTCCTCCTTTGACAACGTGTCTCGGCGCTTTCTGCCTGGGCTGGCCGCCAGCGCGGTGCTTACTCTCACAGCCTGCTGAGCACCTCGCCCTGGTGCCTGGCTGGATCTTCCGCTATGGACTTACTCCTTTTTATTTTACATTAAGTGTTCATGTCTACACACACATTAAAGAGAAAGGGACCTAGGGGCGAGCTCTCCTCCCCCCTCGAGGCTGGCCTGCGTTCAGCACCTTCCTGCCTCTGCCCCCTGGGATTGCAGGCCAGTGGCCCATCTCCAGCTCTGGGTAGGAGCTGACCTCTCACACCTGTGCTGGTAGGGGAGTCTGTTTGTCTGTGTGCATGGTCGCTGGCGGCTGAGTGCCTTTGTCCCCTTCTTTCAGATCTCATCGCTGAAAACGCAAATCCAGTCTCAGGAGTCGGACCTGAGGAGCCAGGAGGAGGACCTGAGCCGCGCCCGGGCAGAGCTCACGCGCCTGCAGCAGGAGGAGACGCAGCTGGAGCAGAGTGTGCAGGCCGGGCGCGCGCAGCTGGACACCATCATCAAGTCCCTCCAGTCCACGCAGGACGAGATCAGCCAGGTACAGCAGAGGCTACACGCATGCCCGCGATTCACACGCTCTCCTCCCATCCGGCCCCCCATGCTGGGATGGCGGGCATGGGCCGCTCTGTCCCAAGGCCCTCAGGAGAGCAGCGTCTCCACGCGTCCCCTCGGTCCCGCCCGGCCCCCGTGTCCCCCGCTCAGCCTCCTACACAGCCCTGCCACGGTGCCCAGCTGGGAGTCGCCAAGGGCCTCCCATTTTCAGCCTTCCAGGGAGCTAGGGTTACAGGCGTGAGCCTCAGCCCCCGCGTGCTCGGTATTTCTGGGGCTCTGGTTTTTTGGAGAGACAGAAACAGCAGTTAGGTAATGGTCTGAGATCACAGGAGATCATGGTGGGTAAAATGTGCAGCCGCCCCCTGTGCCCAGCTCAGACCCGAATCCCTGCCGCTCTGGGAACTGAGGGCTAAGGATTGCATGTGGAGATTGGGTAGAAAGATCTACAAGGTTCCATCTCCATTAACCTGTAAAAAGCCAGTCAGGAGGCATGGTTTAAGTGGTAGAGCAGAAGCCTGAGGCCCTGAGTTTTGTTTTTGGTTTTGTCGATCGTGGGACTTGAACTCGGCCTGGGCGCTATCTCAGCTCAAGGCGATTGCTCTACCTCTTGAACCACAGCACCACTTCCTGTTTTCTGGTAGTTAATTGGAGATCAGAGTTTTATGGACTTTCCTGCCTGGGCTGGCTTTGAACCTCGATCCTCAGATCTCAGCCTCCTGAGTAGCTAGGATGACAAGCGTGAGCCAGTAGTGCCCAGCTGAAGCCCTGGGCTATAATACCCAGTATTGGTTGGAAAGGAGGAAGGGAGGGAGGGAGGGAGGGAGGGAGACAGGAAGCAAGGCAGGAAGGAGCAGGCATACGGGCTTGGCGTCTGCCAGGGGAAATCATGATGAGCCAGAGAAAATGGTGTGGGCTCAACAGGAACAGGTTGGGGTGGGGCAGGAGGGGACACAGGGCAGCCCCCCACGCCCGTGCTCTGCCGCAGGCCCGGAGCGCGCTGGCGCAGCTGCAGGAGAGCCGCGTGGAGGCGCAGCGTGGCGTGGCGCGGTGCGAGCGGGCATTGGACGGCGCGGGCCTGGCCGCCCCGGCTGACGGCGGTGGATTTGGAGCCATGGTAACGGTGGAGTAGACGCGGCCGTGCCTGCAGCCCTGGCAGGTGCCCACGATGCCATCCTGGCCCCGCCCCATCCCACGCCATCCCGCCCCGCCCCAGCCCGCCCCACTGTCCTCGCTCCGCTCGGCTCCGCTGGCTGCCTAACAACTGGCCCAGGCCTCAGCCTGCCAGGCCTCCTGCGCCCCGAGGCCGCGGTGGGGCCTCGGTCTCTGGGTCTCTGGGTCTCTTGGTCTCTTGGTCTCTCATCCACCTCTGCGGTCTGCCTTACTCCTCCTGCCCCTTGGGCTTGGGCTGGCCTCGGCCTCCCTCTCCTCATCCTCATCCTCCGTAACCTCTTCCTTCGCCGCCACCTCCTTTCTTCTCTACCCGCTGCTCTGCTTGCGCCGCCGCCCGCCCTGCGCGTGCTTGGCAGCTCTGCAGCCCTGGGGGCCCTGGCAGCTCTGGGGGGCCCTGGCGGCTCTGGGGGCTCTGGGGGCTAGGTGTCCAGGCGGGCTTGATTGACAGCATCTTCCTCCCACCCCTCATCTGGCCACTTCCCCCTTCCGGGAAGGAGCGCCGCGTGGGGAGCGGCCGGCCGCGCGCCTGGGGTCTGCGTTGTAATAAACACTGTGAACCGGTGCCGTTCCCTGCTGCGTCGCCGGCACAGCCTCGCGGCTCCTTGGGGTCCAGCGGGGAGCCGGCTCCCCCAGCATGGGGAAGCCACCACCGGGCCTCTAGAACTTTCTAGGAACGGCTCTCAAGTTCCTAGTTTAGAATTAGATTTACACGGAGTGACTACACGCACACACTCAGGGCCTGGGCGCTTTTCCTTTTCCACTCAAGGCTGGCGCTCTGCCACTTGAGCCACGGCTCCTCCTCCAGCCTTTTGCTGGTTCATTGGAGATAAGAGCCTCCATGTTCCTGCTGTGGCTGGCATCAGACCCCAGTGCTGCGCTCTTCGCCTCCTCGGGCGTGGGGGTTACAGGCATGAGCCCCTGGCCCGGCCCGCGCCACAGGTCTCGAAGCTGTGTGTGTGTGTGTTGATTCGCCTCTTCCTTTAGTGGTGCGGGGCGACCCACGCCCAGAGCCCTGTTCACATCACACCACACAGCGGGGCTGCAGCTTTCTGCCCCTGCCCCGGCGCCCCGCCCGCCCTGCCCCGCCCCGCCTTACCAGCAGAGCCTCCAGGCGGCTGCCCAGCCTCCGCTCACCCGAAATCCACGGCGCTGCAAGCCCCAGCCGCCCACCCCTGCCCACTCAGCCGCCTGCTCACGCTGGCACACCACCACATGAGCCGAAGCCCACTTCCGGTTTCTTAGTAGTTCATGGGAGATCAGAGTCCCATGGACTTTTCTGCCCGCTGTCTTGGTGCCCCAGACCTCCGATCTCAGCCTCCGGGTAGCTAGGATGACAGGCGGGAGCCCTGCACCGTTTAAAGGACGGAATGCCGCCCAAACGGCCGAGGGCCCCGCACGCAGAGTTGGCGCGAGTGTTTCCTAAGCAGGCAGAGGGGCGGCCGCGGCTCGGGACGCCAGGCCCACGTCCCTCGGGACAGCCCAGCGCAGCCGTGCACCGCACAGCGGCTGATGCATCCAGCGGCCATGCGCCACGGTGGTGTCTCCAGGACCCCACAGCTCCTGAGAGGGGAGACCGACTCAGTCTCCCCAAGTCAGCAAAGGGGCGGAGTAGTTTTCCCAGCTACCTCCTGGAGCTTCTGGGGCGCTGGCCAGCGCCACGCCAGCTTGTGTCACACGGGGGGGGGGGGGGGGTAGTGTGCCCATGGTCCCGTGTTCCTGTGTCTTACATCCCATGGTGTGCCCACCTGCAGACGCACCGCCTCAACTCCCTGGAAGCTTCCATTCCGACACCACGCTGTCTTTATGGGTTTTATGTTTTTCTTTGGGCACTATCGGATTTTGACTCGGAGGCCTTGCTGTTGATAAGTCAGTGCTGCCAAGACCCTCTGGGCACTGGCTGTGTTTGAGATAGGGTCTCCTTTCCTGTCCAGACCCTTTTCCCATCGAGGCTGCGATCCAGGGGCGTGTGCCACTCTTCCCAGCTTTGGTAGAGCCAGCCTCTCAAGGACTTGTCTGCCCCTGGCTGGCCTGCAGCCTCCACGTGTCTGCCGGGGCCGGCCTCCAATCAGGATCCTTGTGAGTGAGCCTCTCCAGTAGGCAGGACCGCAGGCGTGAGCCTCGCACCCGGCTCGGGCCCTGCTTCCTCCTCTCTTGGTTCTCAAGTCGCAGGCCCGTGCTGGCTGGGGCAGGACTTGGACCCCGCGCTCTTGGGTGGGGTGAGCACAGCTCCCCGGCCTCAGCGGGGACACTCGTGGGAGCTGAGAGCCACGGGCACTCAGCCCTCGGAGCCGTCTGTCTGTCTCGCGCTTGCCTCGGCACTGGCTGGGCCTCCCCTAGGGGGCAGCCGGTGTGGGCGGCGCGGGCGCTGCGTCCGAGGTCAGCGGTCTCCACGTCCTCCGCAGCCTGGGCTGAGAAAGGGGCCATCGCGCCACAGCCCAGATCCAGCGCCGCCGCCCCGCCCTCCTGCCTCCTCAAGCCAGCGCTCTGTGCCTCCCAAACCCTCCGGCCTCCTTCATCCGTGCTCCTGGGCACTTCAAGCCCAGTGCTGAGGCTGCAACCCTCGGTTCTTTTCTAAACCCAGCACCCCTGGGGATACGCTGGCCACAGCAGTCTTGTTAAATACGTCTTTGGGGGCCTTTAATCACTCCCAAACCATCACCTGCGTTGTCAGCCGCCTGCCAGGCCTGGCAAGCCGCGCCCATCCTCCTCCTCCTCCTCCTCTACCACCTCCCTGCGAGCTGGTGCTGCAGGCGTGCGCCCGACGCCCAGCCCACAGTAAGCCGGGACTGAAGATGTCATTCTGCTCAGACATTAAGCTTCGCCCCCATCACGGTCTCTCAGGGTGCTGAGCACGCCCTGGGATCCCCCTCCAGGGCTTCTGCGCCCCCAGTGCCCGGCTCCGGATCTCACTCACTCCTCCCTTTCCTTTTCTTCCTTTTGTGGCAACTGGGGGGGTTGAACTCACACGGGCTCCTGCTCAGGAGGGCAGGCCTCTCCGTTCGAGCCACGCCCACTGCCGGCCACGCCCACCGCTCCCTGCCGTGCCCAGGGCCGGCGGGCTCCCTGGCTTCCTTGCTTCCCGTGTTACAGCTCTGCAGTGTTCCGTGGGGGGTGGGGGGGCGCGGGAGGAGCCGCGCGGTCCTTCCTGCGGGCTGCGGCGGGCATGCGGGTTGCCTCCACTCGGTGAACTGTTAGTTGCTCCAGGCTTACCCGTCGCGCCCGTGTTGCCCAGTGCCCGCTGTCCTCTCCCGTGGCGCTCCGGGGTGGCTGGACAGGCGGAGGTCGGGCCGCTCGTGCTCTGGTCCTCCGTGACAGTGACCAGCGCCGTCCTGTCCGCTCCGCTGCTCCAGGATGATCCTTTCAAGAGCAAGGCCCTGCTGTTCAGCGGCGGCGCGCAGGAGCTGCCAGCCGACCCCTTCCAGGCCGACGACCCCTTCCAGACCGACCCCTTCAAGGGAGCCGACCCCTTCAAAGGTACGCGGGCCCTGCCGGCACGCACCCTGCGCCCGCACTCCGAAGGGAGCTGGCAGCCGCCCCGGGGGTCCGCACCTGCACGCGCTGCCCGTGGGGTCGGCGGCCTTGGCCCCCAGTAGCGGGCATCAGCGCATGCCCATGCGGGGAAGGGCAGGCAGCGTGATTTGGGGGCCGGCGCTCCCTCCGGTCCACACTCGCAACCCCCCAGCCTGTGTCCACCCCGTGGGGGCCGGGCAGACCCAGTATTGTTCCTCCCCCTGCCCCCTGCAGGCGACCCGTTCCAGAACGATCCATTTGTGGAGCAGCAGACAGCGATCACAGGTATGGTGGCAAAGGTGACACGGCCTGGGGTGGGGTGGGGTGGGGCGGGGCAGGGCAGGGGCGGGGCGGGGGGCTCTCAGGCCAGACCCTCACAAGGGGGGGTGGCGGCTGCCCACGCAGATGGCAGCCCTCCACGCCACACAGGACCTGCCTGGTAGCAGGTGGATTTTATTCTCTTGAGATGAAGCTCACCTCCATGTGTGCGAGCTGGTGCCAGGCCTTGCAGGCAAGGCCTCCCGCTGGCTAAGCAGGGCTGCTCTGCTTGCGTGTGGCCAGGCCGGCCTGGGCTTTGACCTCTCATCTCCATCTCCTATGTAGCTGGGATGATAGGCAACCCCTGCCCCGCCCTGCATTTTTCTATGGAGATGAGGGCCTTAGGAACTTTCTGGAACCTTGACCCTCTGGGATTCTGGACAGAGCCACTGGCACTGGATGTTTGTCGGTGGTTTTTAACCCAGCCTCGTGAAGAGCTGGCCTCTCCACGCAGCCGAGTTCCACATCTTGCGCACGCCCTGGCCCACACTGGCCGCGATCTGCCGTCCGCAGAAGCTGCCCGGCCTGGGCAGGCGTGAGCGGGTCAGCTTGCATCCTGTCCGCTGCCTGCGCAGCCAGGGCCGCTGTGCCCCCCTCCCTCCCGCGGGGGTAAGGGGCTCCACGGGGCGCCCACCCACGAACCCAGGGTCCTTTCCAACAGTGTCCTGTGAGATCAGAACCATTCCTGTCACCCACAAGCTTCCCACGCATGTGCCTGCCCCGGTCACCTCCTCCCAGGCCACCTCCACCACTCACCACCACCCCCCCCCTAGATCCCTTTGGAGGGGACCCTTTCCGAGAGAGCGACCCCTTCCGCGGCCCTGCCCCCGAACCCTTCTCCAAGAAGCAGCCACGGAGCGACCCGTTCGCCGCCGACCCCTTCGCCAAGACCCCCGGCGCGCCCACCTCGGTGAGCCCGGCCCACCAGCCCCCCATGCCCAGGGCGCGAGGGCCCCAGCGCCTCTACTCTCCCCCCACCACCACCCCCCGCCCTCCCAGGGGTCCCGTGGGTCCGGAGAGGCCACGAACCCGCCGTCTCCTGTCTCCTCAGCTTGACCCATTCGAGGCCAGTGAGCCCTTCGCGTCGTCCGGTGTATCGAAAGCATCAGGTGAGTGGGACTGGGCCCCTGCCCGCAGCCTCATGTCCTCCAGGGGGCAGTCATGGGCCAGGGGACAAAGGAGACAGCACCGCAAACGCGTGTCTCTGGCTGGGCACAGTGGTGCACGCCTGTAAGTCCTACTTGGGAGGTACAACTGGCCGGCCCGGGCTGTGTGATGACCCCCGGCTCTGAGAACACACCGCAGTGTCCCCTCGCCACCGACACTGTTGCCGCCGCCCGTCCCAGCGCTCTGGGACAGCGGGCCGTGGCCCCGGGCCCCTGAGCTGAGGCCACACAGAGGCCCTGTGCCAGAGCAGGCAGGAGCCGTGGGGCCCGTGTTCCCGCATGCGGCTGCCCCCCTGCCTTGGGGACCCCACCTTGTCCTGACCCCGGGGTACGGGGTGCGTTCTGTCCCTGGCCGTGACCCCTGCCTCCCGGTGCCTTGCAGATCCCTTTGGGACGCTGGACCCCTTTGGGAGCGGGGCGTTCGGCAGCACCGAGGGCTTCGCTGACTTCAGCCAGATGTCCAAGGTGAGGGGCGCGGGCCTCACCGTGGGGGTGGGGGGGACCCTGGCTTGCCCCCCCAAGCATGTGTCCCCCTTAACACGGGTGGCATGGCTCGGGCCGGGCCGGGGACACCGGCACCGGGCGGGAGTGGGTGGGTGCGGGAGGCAGAGCCATGCTAGCCCACGGTGCCCAAGCCACGTCCCGCGGGCCACTGGAGATAAGCGTGAAGTGGGCATAGACCTTCCCCGCGGGGAAGAAATGAGGCCGGGGCCCCTCCCCAGGGCAGAGCCAGCTCGTGAGCACCGCCCCTGGTGTAAGCCCTGTCCAGGCCGCCGTCCCTCCCCCCGTCCCCCCCAGCCCGCCCCCCCACGTGCTGTGGCCACTGCTTCACCCAGGAGCCCTGTGGGGCCGCGTGTGCTGCACGACGGGCACTGGCCAGCAGGGGGCAGCACAGCGCCGCGGGCCCGGCGGCCATGGGCGTGTGCTCCGTGCCCAGGGCATCTCTCCGCGTGTGCGTGTGCAGGGCCCGCGCTGTCCTCCGTGGTCTCCCCTCTCCCTGGTGTGACATGGGAGCTGGTGGCCTGGCACGTGGGACCGGGGCCGAGGGCAAGAAGCGCCCCCCGATGCCCACAGGCACGGAGGTTCCTGGTCTTCTGCGTGCATGGTTGATCCTGGTGGAGAAGAGCCACCGCGCTCCGCGGGCCCAGCTCCTCACGCGCGGCCACACGCGGCCCAGACGGGCAGCGACTGCACACTGCTCCAGGCCGTCTGGGACGGTGGACACGTGTGGGCTGGGCAGCACCGTGGGCCGGGGCCGGGACTCACGGGAGCGTGGCGCCTGCAAACGGGTGGGGTGTTCAGCACGGGGTCCGCCCCGACACGAGGCGCATGTGCCACACGGGGGCAGCAGCCCGTCGCTCGCCGCTGCGCCCCCTGCAGCGTGCTGCAGTGTGCTTCCCGCCCCCCAGGCTGCAGGCCTGGGCCGGGTGGGGCTGCGGCGGGGGGGGGGGGGGGGGCAGCTCCTCGGTGGACCCGGCCTGCCCTCCCCTCAGAGCAGCCCTGCAGCTCCGCCGTGGGCACGCGGCCTGGGGCCCCGTCTGTGGGCCGCATCTGCGGGCTGTGGTTATGTTGTTTTTCAAGAACGACCTCAGGTGTGTCAACACTGCCGGGAAGCGAAACCGCGGCCGCTGCGCTGCACCGCGCTGTTGTTTTCCTGAGCTGGCTTTTTCTTTTCTCTTTTTCCTTTGCTTAAAAAAAGTCAGCTCTCTCCTACCCCGGCAGGGTGGGGCCTGGAGCAGCAATGGGGGGCAGCCAACACCCCAAATGCCAGCGCCATCCCCAGCCTCCTCCCCAAGCCTCCTCCCCAGCCTCCTCCCCGAGCCTCCTCCCCAGCCTTCTCCCTGAGCCTTCTCCCCAGCCTCCTCCCTGAGCCTCCTCCCCAGCCTCCTCCTGTGTCTTTCCAGCCTCCTCCTCAGCCTCCTCCCCGAGCCTCCTCCCCAGCCTTCTCCCCAGCCTCCCCCTGAGCCTCCTCCCTGAGCCTTCTCCCCAGCCTCCTCCTGTGTCCTCCCAGCCTCCTCCCCGAGCATGTTCTTGCTGGGCACCCCTGGCAGACCCTGCTCACCCACCAGGCCCTGGACCCCATCCCATCCCCCCACTGCCCAGGAAAGAGATGCAAATAAGTTCCTCAAAACGTGTTTGTGGAGGGCCCTGAGAATAAAATGAGAGCCACTTACATAACCCGCCCTGGTCTCCCTGCCCGAGCCCGGAAGAGCCCTCATGAGCCGCGTGCCTCCTCCCTGTCCCCACCCCCACCCCGTGGTCCATCACCAGGGACCTCTCCGCCTTTCCCCCTCTCCTGGGCCGCGCTCTCCAGGGCTGCGCTGCCCCCCAGGCAGGGCCGCCTTTCTATTTTTTTATTTTTTTGGGTCCAGTCATGGGGCCTGAACTCTGGGCCTGGGCGCTGTCCCTCAGCTCTTCAGCTCAAGGCTAGCCTCTACCACTTGAGCCACAGCACCACTTCTGGCTTTTTTCTTTTTGCTTATGTGGTGCTGAGGAATTGAACCCAGGGTCTCATGCATGCAAGGCAAGCACTGTACTGCTGAGCCACCTTCCCAGCCCAAGGGTGATTTTTTTTTTTTTTGCCGGTCATGAGGCCTGAACTCTGGGTCTGGGTGCTGTCCCTCAGCTCTTCAGCTCAAGGTTAGCGCTCTACCACCTGAGCTACAGCGCCACTTCCTGCTTTTTTTTTTTGCTTATGTGATGCTGAGGAATCGAACCCAGGGCCTCAGGCATGCAAGGCAAGCGCTCTACCACTGAGCCACCTTCCTAGCCCTAGGGCCGCCTTTCTAGAGGTCAGCCCCCGACTCTGCAGAGGCCGCTTGGACCCCGGGCCTCGACCCAGCCCCCCAAACCCTGCTCAAAGCAGCCACCGCACCCCAGCTTCTGGGGGTGGTGCCTGTCACCTGGGAGGGCGCCGATTGGCCGGCGCTGGCCCCTGGGGTGGGGTTGTCACCTGGGAGGGCGCCGATTGGCCGGCGCTGGCCCCTGGGGTGGGGTTGTCACCTGGGAGGGGGCCGATTGGCCCCGCGCTGAAGGGAGGGTGCGCCTCGTGCCTGGCCGGGTGGGCTTGGCCGGCGGCCACCTGTCACCACTTCGGCACCTGCACATGCTTGAGCGGCTCGGCCGCAGCGGGATCCGAACGCATGGGGAGCCCACCCGGGACCCCCAGTGCCTGGGGAGACGTCCCAGGCCTCCGCCATTCCTTGCACAGCACTGCGACCGCAGGGCTGCACGCCAGCTCTCCGGGGGACCCGGGTTCAAGGCCAGCCTGGCCACACAGCCGGACCCGCTCTGTGACGCCCCCCTTCCCCAGTGCAAGGCGCAGGGCATCCGGCGCCCCGAGGTGCCGCCCGCCGACCCCGCGGGCTCCCGGTCAGCCAGAGGCAGTGCGGGCCGCCCGCAGCCAGGGGCTCGGACCAGCCCCGCACAGCCCAGACTGACAACCCGGGAAACAGCGCCTCGCCAGGCATGGCGCAAGCGTGTGCAGACGCCATCCAGAGCCCAGGGGTATTAACTTCTGGAATTTTCTGTGTAGTATATTTGGTGTCGAGAGAGCTGGGGTGGGTGGGTGCGGGCCCCAGAGGTACCACCCCCGCAGCCACGTCCTCACGGTGCTGAGCCAGGGCCTGTGGCTGTGCGTGTGGCACTGAAGGTGGGGAAACTGAGTCAGCCAGGGCAGGCCTGGCTGGCTGCAGCCCCTGCGCTGCCCCTGCCCATGTCCACCGGCGTCACCGACGGTGGCTCGAAGCGTCCACCCCAGACCCAGCAGCCCACAGCTAGGCACGGTGCCCAGGAGCCGCAGCCTGACCGCAGGTGCAGGCCCAGCCCTAGCGGGCGGCAGCGCCACACCAGGCCTGCTTCCCTGTGCGTAGAGGAGGCATGGTAGGGGCGGCGCCTGTCACCTGGGAGGCCGCCGATTGGCCTGGCACTGGCTCCTGTGGGCGGCGCCTGTCACTTGGGAGGCCGCCGATTGGCCCGGTGCTGGCTCCTGCGGGCGGCGCCTGTCACCTGGGAGGCCGCCGATTGGCCCGGTGCTGGCTCCTGCGGGCGGCGCCTGTCACCTGGGAGGCCGCCGATTGGCCTGGCGCTGGCTCCTGTGGGCGGCGCCTGTCACCTGGGAGGCCGCCGATTGGCCCGGTGCTGGCCCTGTGGGCGGCGCCTGTCACCTGGGAGGCCGCCGATTGGCCCGGTGCTGGCTCCTGTGGGCGGCGCCTGTCACCTGGGAGGCCGCCGATTGGCCCGGTGCTGGCTCCTGCGGGCGGCGCCTGTCACCTGGGAGGCCGCCGATTGGCCCGGTGCTGGCTCTGGTGAAGCGGTGCTTCTCCCCGCTGGGCCGGCAGCCCGGCCCCATCCCAGCCAGCACCCTCTCGGTCTTCACCCGCGCGTGCTCTCGTCCGGTGGTCCACCCTCGCTCCCTCCATCACCCATCCACCCGCCAGCTGTGTGCTCTTCCTCCTCCCACCTGTGGCTTGTGCGTCCTTCTGCCCATCATCCGCCCTCCTTGCGGGATGGGGGCTGGGATCTGGGCTGGGCCCCGTGTGGGGTGCGGAGGTGGGGGACACGGACTCGGCTGGGCTGGGGCGCTAGGGGGCCGGCTCTGCGCGGGGGTCCGGCCCAGGGGGAGCGGCCGCCATCCCCGGCGAGACTGACGGTGTTGCCTCTCCCGTGTCCTCTCTTGCAGCCCCCCCCTGGGCCTTTCCCCGCGTCCGTGGGAGGCGCGGCGTTCTCAGACGACCCCTTTCACGGTGCGCAGCACACGCCGGCTCTGCCGCCCAAGAAGCCCGCTCCGCCTCGGCCCAAGCCGCCCAGCGGTCAGTACGCGGCCGGCTCCGCGCGGG